CATACATTTGGCAAATGCGTGACCGCCTCTCTGGTCTACTGGTCAGAGTTCCTGGCTACAGATCCAGAGATCCGGGTTCGATTCCTAACGCTACCAGATTTTCTGAGAACTAGTGGGTCTGGAACGGGGACCACTCAGCCTCGTGAAGATAAATGAGGAGCTATTTCAAGGAAATAGCGGCTCCGGTCTAGAAAACCGAGATTAACGTCCGTGGGGATCCGTTGCGCTGACCACGTGACACCCTATATCCGCTAAAGTTGGCCTTAAGTTCGCCGACAAGCGGCGGTCGCTCGGTCGGTATAGTTCACTTGCAGACTACAGGCCACGGAGTTTTTTTTTGGCAAATGCGTTGAATATTATAAAAGTCTTTATGCAAATCCAGCATTATTATTAATTATTATGAAGGCAGTGAAGTTGAATATTTGCCTGAGGTAAAGCCGATCTTGACACTACTACCTCGTGCTCAATATATTAAGCAAATTGTTAACTTTACTTTGAAAGCTCTTATTTCCTTCCGGAACCATTCTAGTGCGGTTCGTATTTGGCGAAGCAGCTAATGCTTATTTAGCCTGTAGGAGCGCTAGTGTCTCCGGTTAACAAACAGCAACAAGTTACGTTGAACGAGTCCCCTATCTCCACACATAACCCTAAGCACTGGTTGGGATATACAGTTCGTCGTTTTTTTTTCAATTTAATTAATGACGTTTTCCCTTCTGAATATGTCGACTGGTAGGATGATTATGAATGATAAATCTATAGAATATTCCATTGGTAGTCCATCTGAAGGTAGTAGTCAGTAATTTATGTGGAGATCCTGAAGACAATGACAGAGAGTCTCAGGTGAAAAATCGAACGAGGAATTTACGTGTATAAAAAACTCCGTGGCCTCTATCCACAAAAGTTGGAACGAACTCTACCGACAGAGCGACCTCCGCTTGTCGGCGAAGTTAGTGCCAACTTTTGCGGATAGAGGATGTCTCGTGGTCAGCGCAACGAATCCCCACAGTCGTTAATCTCGGTTTCCTAGACCGGAGCCGCTGTTTCCTTGAAACACCTCCTCAATTATCCTCACGAGGCTGAGTGGACCCCGTTCCAGACCCACTAGTTCTCAGAAAATCTGGTAGCCCCGGGAATCGAACCCGGACCTCTGGGTCTGTAGCCAGGAACTCTGACCACTAGACCACAGAGGCGGTCGTTGCGGGTATAAAGCATGTTTAATTTAAGGAATACTATATCAGTTGCAGAAGTTATTTGTTGGAAGGGAGTTAAGTGCAGTTAACTGGATATTAGCATATTTGGGGCATTGTCACGTCCTACGCCACAGAAAATCCAAGAAAAAATTCCGTAAAAATTATAATTGCGTCATGTCTTGCTGTAATTCTCGATGCAGCTTCTTGTGGACATATATAAATACATTTCAGTGGTATGATATGATTCCGAAGCAGCTAAAACTGCCTTTCAGCCTTCATTGGCTAATCGCAGTTGACCCCAAACCTCTCCCTCTAATCACGCCAACACTGTCATGATAGAGATCAGATTCTTACATTCTAGCACTTAGAAACTTCCAGTGGAAAACTCCTTCAAATTCTATGCAACGAGGGCCTCCTGTACTTGCTCTAATTTTGTTATAGCTGGTTTCAGGGAGGGGGGGAATAAGCACTACAAGGTGCCAATTTCGCTTCGTCAGTTATTTCTGAACAAAAAGTCCATATTTTTATGGTATTCGACTTTGCCTTCATGCCACTATAGGTAAATTTACGTGTGTAGATAGGTAGCTAGTAGATATTTATTCTTAATATTTTACTTGTGTTGTGTTACAGCAAAACTGTATTTTATCTTTGTACAGTAAGTTGATGCACTATGCTACAAGCCGGAAGTTCGCGGTTTCGATTGCCGATGAGGTTATCAGGGTTTTCAATTGACTTCATCCTTCCAGCCGCACTATGGCCCTGGGATCGACTCAGCCTCTAACAGAAATGAGCACCAGAAATATTCCTGGGGAGTAAAGGGAGGCCGACGCGTAAGGCTAACAACCTCACCGCCTTCAGTGAGCCGATTGTCTAGAAAATGTGGGAACCTCGACGTCTCACAACCCTTTGGGCCTCCACGGCCTGATCATCATCATCATCAGTAATCTGTCAAGACGACAGGTCCACAGTCTCTTTCAAAACAATTCCTCCACTTAATGCGATCTAGAGCTTTCTCCTTCAAATGACAGTATCCTCTTCTGTCCCCAAGGTCATCCAGCATCTTCTTACGTCTTCTTCCTCGTCTTCTTGTCACTTCTATCCGCCCATCTATCTTTCCTTCGATAGCTTCTTTTAGAAGGCAGTTTCTGCGTAAAACATGACCAATCCAATTAGCCTTCCGTTTTCTTATTTCATGTAGGATATTCCTCTGCTCACTGACTCTAATTAACACTTCTTCATTTCTCACATAATCGGTCCAACTGATCTTCTTCATTCTTCTCCAACACCATATTTCGACACTTTCCAGATGTTTCTGATCTACTGCCCTAAGTGTCCATGTTTCAGCCCCATACAGAGCCATGATCCAAATGTAGCATTTCACTAGTTTCTTCCTCAAATTTAAGTCCAATTTGCTCGTAAAAAGATTCTTCATACAGGGATAAATTTAATTTTACTTTGTCTTACGATCAACCAGTTCAAATTCTAAGATCTTTAATTTTTATTTAATAAAGAAAAATGGATCCATATTTATAATAAGATAGTATAGAAACCAATAACGTTTCAATGATTAACTTTTCCGACTTTGTACCGCCTGAAGATGAGCAATACAAGTCGAATATTGAAACACCGCAAAAGTTATATTGTCACTTCCTAAGAAATGTAAGCTGCAGCTTCAGTGACAGCTTAAGATATTTATTTAGGGTTTATTTAGGCCCGCAATTAGGAGCTCAGACTGTACGGCATCCTATAATAGGATTATTAACTTACAAACAATTGAGAGGACTCCGTCACAACAAATGTCTGGAAGAATTGAGTAATACAGCTCGAAACTTTAAGACATTTCGTGTTTCGGTTCTGATTCCATCCAATACATTCTAAACACAAGCCAGAAGTGTTAGCGCCCGAGCAAACACGGTTGTTTACAAGTGCGCAGGAATTTCTCCCCTTTATAGGTTACCATGGTCTAAGGCATGTACTGTCTTCGCTCGCTTGGAAACCGGGATCGTGGGTTCGAATCCCACTCAGGGCATGGATGTTTAGTTTATGTGTGTGCGTCTTTCTGTGCTTGTGTACAGGTAGAGTTCTTGCGACGAGCTGATCACCCGCCCAAGGAGTCCTACCGAATGTGTAAGATCTAGAAAAACCGAAGTGAACNTATAGATAGATATCGGCCGCGCCATAGCTCAAGCGGTTAGTCGCTGGCTTCCCACAGCGGCGGCCCGGGTTCAATCCCGTGTCTGGTCAAGTGGGATTTATGGTGGACAAAGTGGCGCTGTGGCGAGTTTTCTCCGTGTACTCTGGTTTCCCCTGCCAATTTTCATTCCACCAAATTTTCCATCATCATAATCACCCAGGGCAGGCTACAATAGGCCAATCAGTGGCCGCCGTACCGAGTGGACCCAATTGGACTCCACCTCCCACTAAGCGAAAATTAGGTGGATGTACGGATAGATAGATACATTGTTGGTTGGGTGAATGAATGAATGAATGAATGAATGAATGTATAAGGGGTGGGCCTTCTCGGCCCTTGCACCGCGGCCTACAGTGGCCTATTGTGCTTTAGATAAATAGATAGATACATAGATATCACTCATACTCGCGCACGCACGCACGCCAGAAATGGGTAGTAAGTTATGAGCGCATCAGTTTGTCTGTGTGTTTCTATGCGTTGAACTTTTGAACAGATTGGTTGACTTTAATGAAACCTGGTATGAGCCTTGTGCCACTGGAGGACATCGTAATCTTGCATATCTTAATTCGCTGTATTAAGTAATAACATCATGGCGGTTCCTCAAAAATTTACGATAAACATCTTCGAAATATATGTAAGTTTTTTCTAGTTTCGCAGTTTAGGTGTTTTTTTAATGCACTGTGACACGGGAGCAGCATGAAACCTGTATTCATTTCTCAGTTTGATACCAGTAACTAACGAACTAGACATGTGTGGCATTTCATATACAGATCATAAAAATACCCAACTATTTTGCATGAAGTATTATGCATAAAGAAAATTAACGAATATGACTACGGCGTGAATGTCCGTTGTAATATCTGACAAATTCTAACGTCCACAGAGTTTGTATTTAAGTTATAATTTCTTCCCGAAGTGATAATAATACTACTACTATTACCACTACCACTGACTAACTCCATGAAGCTGAGCCCCTCTTGAGAAGCCACCAGTCGCTCAACTACTCACGAATTTTCCAACATTTTATGGAACCCGAAGGCTCGTTACCGTATTGACAAGAACCCTTACTAGTCCCTATCCTGAGCCAGACGACTCAAACCAACACCACATATCCTATCTCTCCAAGATCCATTTTAATATTATCCTCTACATAATTCTAGGTCTAGGTCCGGCTTTTCCACCAAAATTCTATATGCATTCCTCTCATCCTCATGCGTGCTACATGCCCTACTCATCCTCCTTGACTTGATCGTTTTAATTATACTTAGAGAAGATTACAAGCTATGAAGCTCCTCATTATGCAGTTTTCTCCAACGTCCCGTTACTTCATCTCTCTTCGGTACAAGCATTCTCAGCATCCTGTTATTATTATTATCACCACGACGTGTAACTTACAACTTCAGGTAGTCAAACTCTTTTAACTGAGGTAGCACGAACATGTGTACAAGAATGCAGCATGTTGGCCCTGAGAGGTCTGCATTTTATTGTTACTATCACTGCTCTTCGGGCGCCACAGTCCATGATAAACCTTGACCTCTGTAGTTGGTAGGACTCCTTGGGGGGGGGGGACGAAACCAGACTGACACAAGGCCACTATGTAAACAGGACAACACACATCATTGCCTCGAATTGGATTCGAACTCACGAAAGCACTGCTTTAGCGGACGAAGACATATCTTGAACCGCGCGGCCACTGTGATCGGAGCATTTTTTTGTTGTTGCATTGCCTACAAATGGTACTTCCTACAACATAGAGATTTTTAGCTAGTAGGGGTTTGCGCAGTATGTAAGCAAAGCTTGTATCTGCTCGTGTACAGAGTGCAGCTGGCTACAGTGAGACACAGTGCTTGTCTAATTGGAACTTTGTAGCAGTCACAACTTAGCTGAGGTGGGTACAAGACAGAACATCAGTTCCTCAGACCTTACAGTAAACTCATATATATCTATATAACTGTCAGCTTATAATTTGTCAAAGTGAAGTTTATAAATCATTAAGAAGGCTGCAATTGTGAAATATTTCGAAACTACGACGGACAAAGGATCCATGAAATAGAGAAAAAAGTGTAACAAAAACTTTCTTAATAATTCTTAGAACAATTAAAGTAAAGGGTTAAAAATGCGATTAAATTACGATACAATAAATGCTTAAACTAATTATTTCTTTTGCGCAATTCGCTCGGAAAACTGTCACTTGGTGGACAGAGGAGATAGGATCATAATACAAGGTGAGCAAACGGCATAACGAAAAGATTATTTTTAGTACGTGTATTTAAGAAGTATATTTTGATTTTTTAGCTGTCCTTATATCGAAAAGTACTCTATTGAATGGAGTAGGTTTTCAGTTTCATTCATGGTTATATGTTCGTTCTGGAAAATGTNTGAATGCTGTGGGGAGGGGCGGCTCAGTTGTGAACATCATCAGAAGGAATACGGTAACAAATACACAAACAATATTCTTGCTGCGAAAAGTAGCAGTGATTACAATAACAAATTATTAGATTTTTATGGCACCGTACTCGAACCCTGCCCATCAGAGTGCCAGGCGGTCTTCGCTCGCTTCAACACTGGGATCGTGAGTTCGAATCCTACTCAAGGCATGGATGTCTATTTGCGTTTATTCTGTGTTTGTATTAGGTATGGGCCTTGCGACGGACTGATCCTCCATCGAATAGATAGATAGATACTGGAACACTAAGAAGTGAAACTAATTAATGTAACGCAATGAAAACTGAAATCTTAACTGCCGCTAAACTTCAGAACGAAAGCACTGTAAATGTACTGGACACCGTATTCAGGTCAGCAGAACATATTTTGATTCTCATTAAAATTGTATTATATTATTATTATTATTCCTTTCGTTGTGGTGTCGGTAATACTCGAATACATCGCGTGTGTCTGCGATCAGATGAGGCCGACCAGGCTAGGGTCACGGTCGGGGGTGAGTCTGCTTTCAAGTGTGACGCACTTGCCAAATTATTAGGCTCTACCCCGACAGAGCCACCGAGCTCTCTGTTTTATGAATAAGCTACGAGTCGCGTTTCCCCTATCGAGGTCTTTTCGCCCATTATTGTTTTGAATACTCAGCTCAAGGCTGTACTACTCGTGTTGACCGAATCCCTAGTGGATATGAT